CAGCTGAGCAGAAGAGAAGTTCCACTCACAGGTTGAAGCCCCAGGGAAAGCAGGGCTCTCAGAGTTTTCAGAGTCCTGTTTGGGTAGTGTTTGGTGGATGGTGTTTGGGCACTGAGCTGGGTGTCTGTCACTGGGTTGTTTCCACTCCAGGCATCCTCCTCCTCTCTGTGGCGAGCAGTAAGGGTGGCAGTGCTTGTTTCCTGTGCAGAACCAGGGTGCTTGCTCCTAAGATAGGCTGGGGAACCAAAATCCTCTTGCAAAAGGCTGGCAGAGAGGCCAGTTTCATAACATAAGTCACATCACTGGCTAATGAAGCTCATGTGCTCTCAGAGGGATCTGTTCAGATGCCTCTGTTGCTTAGCAGCCCCAGCCCTGCTGGCATGGATTTGAGTGCCCAAATCCTCTAGATGCCTTTGCAAATCTCCCTTAAATGTTCAGAGGTGAAAAGCTGTTGGCAGAGACTGACTGAATGAGTGGCTTTAGCTCCAGCAGGCACCTCCTCACTGGTGGGTGGTGGTGGCTTCAGGAGAGGCCCGGGGGTGTGCCCAGATGTGGTATGTGGCTTCTGTGACACAGCCAGCAGCTGAGCCATCCCCAACAGGGCATTCAGAGCAGCCCACAGGATGTTTGGATGGAGAGCAGTAGTTACTCTGGATGTTGAAACACTGAAACCCAACCCACAACACCTACTGAACATGGGGAGCCTGCGGCACTTTCTGGATTCAACAAGCAAGGATTTAGTAGCATCTTAAATGCTGGAGGATTGAACATTGTTGCTGTGGGAACTCAGCTGTCTCTCTAATCAAAACCCATGTGGGAAGCTCAGGATTGGTCCAGGAGGGGAATATAGATTTTATTTTTTTTTAATATGTGTCTTAATATATGAATATGTGTGAATGCAAATGGCTTTTGTCTTGAAGCTGATGGTCATGCTGAGCAGCTTAATCTGCCTTCTGCTAAAACACTGAAAATAAAGATTGAAGGGACTGTGAGATATTTTTAGCCCCTCCTCTGCCTGCAGGCCGGATGGACTCCGCCTGTCACTCCTGACAGGCTGGTTCTAAAAAGCCTCTAATAATGGGGATTTCACAATCCTCCCAGGCAGTTTGCTTCAATGTTTCACCCGCTGCCCTCTTGATTTCTGGGTTTTTTCCCAGCTGCCCAAGCATTGTTTTCTTTGCTGTACTTTAAAGCTTGTTACTGCATGTCCTGTCTGCAGCAGCTCAGAGAAGAGCCCTTCCAGGCAGGTTTTCTGTAGCTGGAGATGCACTTCTTCCCTTGCTTTCTTCTCCCCTTCAATCTTGCTTCCCTGCTATCTTGTTTGACAGAGCCACCAGGATGTTCCTGGCTCCCGACACTTTTCCCAGCTGATGTTGTGACACAGGGACACAAGAAATTAGTGACAGTGCAAAAGGAGGGAGAGAGGCAGAAGCAGGAGCTGTAATCCCATGTTTTGGGAGAGGGGCATCAAGCGAGAAAATTAACTCTAGCCCAAAACCAGCACACACAGCATCCCAAGAAGGCAGCTCTTCCTTCTTTGTAATGAGGAACAAAGACACATGGACCTCCTTCTTGCTTGCTCCAGGGGAACACTTCATTGGAAAAAAACCAATTTTTATGCTCTAAACTTAAGCAAAAGAAGCAGGCGGTGTTTTGGAGCAGATCCCGGCGCTCGGGAGCCGCTCGTGGCTCTTGTGTGACCTCTTGTGTTGGCTCAGAGGGGCTCTCAGCATTCCCACCTTGGATCTCTCCCACTTCCCCAGCCACATTTGCATTTAGGGAGTCATTACATATTTAAAAATTTTATTTTAGTATTACATATTTTTTAAAAAGATCCTATTTACTCCTCTTAAATGCAATATCAAGGATTTGTTTCTTGCCATCCAGACTTGCCATGGGTGCGGCTGTGTCTTTATTTGGCTCTGGATTAATTTCTTTGAAGCAGCTGGGCAAGGGTGACAAAGGATTTAAAGCATCTCAAAGTTAAGTTCTCACAGGTTTCATGAAAATTTGGACTTGGGTAAAAGGAGTTAAAAAGAAACAGCAAGCCCAGTCCTAAGGCAGTGTCGGATGCTCCAGAGCTGCCAGAGCTGGGGCCGTGCCCACCCAAGGGGGCACCTCAGGACTTCTCCGGTCTTTTTAAATAATGGATTTTCTGGGATAATTTCATCCGTGAATGACCCCAGAAATGTTAAATCCACCAAATTTATCCTGAAGTTAAAGCAGGTGGGTTAAAACAAAAGGGCTAGGATCCAAAAGTGGCAAAAGAGGTGGAAACTACTCCAAAATACACCCTTGGCTCCTCATAAAGATGAGTTTGGGATGTGCCTCCAGGGCTTGGGGTGGAGAAGAGATGGCTTATTTTAAATACTTACATACTTTACATATTAAAGTGTATTTATGCTACTAACTATGCTGCATTAATAATAACTGTTAAATTTTCTCTGGATATGTAAACCTGTACTAATAACTTCATCATATGTGAAAATCCTGTCATATAAAGAAAATAAGATTGAAAACATCTCCAAAAACATGTTTTATCTATTATCTGTTCTATACTTTATATAAAAATACAACATGTTTTATCTATTATCTGTTCTATATAAAAAAATACAATAAAAAGGCTGCTAAAAGCACCCCAGAGGCAGTCAAGGAGGTCTTATGTGTTTCTGCATTACAACAATTGTATTTTGTACATAACAAATAACATAGCCAATATCTTTGTAGCAATAAAATGTGGATATAAAAAGCTCTAAATCCATATTAATGAAGAAAATGCTGTTGGGTTGGCAGTGTGAAATATAATTATTAAATGTCTCTAGTTGTGTGCATGTAAAGATAAATGTGCACGAATACCTAGACAGGGTGATTGTGTGTATTAGAATAAACACATGTTGTGTCCCGTATAACATTTATTAATCATCATTATAAAATCTGCTTCATGTATTTTTGAAAAAGAATCAAAAATATAAATCTAACCTTTAAGAACAATATAAGAATATAAATTTTAAACCATTGTTTTATACATGTGCCTCTGGGTAAAAATATATTCTTTTTTTTTAAACCTTTGCTATGTTCATGTTACAGAGACACACGTGTGCAGAGGGGCTGAGCACGAGAGCCACAGGGAGTGTTTCTGGGTTTTTAAAACACATTTTGGTGCACAACATATCAGATCTTTGCTTGTCAGTGATGACAATTTTTAGATGAATCTTCATGTAAAACTCTTAGAAACCTTATTAATACTTTTCCATATGCTATATGGAAATGAAATTATTAAATTTCTGTCTGACTAAACACTGAGAGGAAGGGGAGTACACACGTGTGTGTGTGTGTGTGCACATACGTGTCTGTGCATAATATAGAATGTGTAGTAAAACTAGACCTTTACAGTAATAAAATACAGGATTAGAAAGATAAAAATATTAAACTAGATTATTAAATTCTGCTAAGTATGCTGTATGAAAACATAATTTATATCAGTGTATACAACAGCATATGGACACACTACATTTATATATTTATACATATATATATTTTGTATATATACATCTCTCTCTCTCTCTCTCTCTCTCTCTCTCTCTCTCTCTCTGTGTATATATATATATATATATATATATAAACACACTTTTTAGACACCCAGAGCTATATGGGCACACAGGTGAGTGTGGAAATGTACATATATTATGACAGCTCATGCATAATTCAGAGCTAGTACCATAAAGGCACCTTACCAACAATAAAATATTTTTGTGTGTATTAAAAAGTTTTATTCAAGTAGTAAATTGTGGTAGCCTAAATGAAATATAGTTATTAAACTTGTAAATATATAAAACACAGAGAGAAACAACAAGGATGTGTGTGCCCACACTGTTTATGTATTGTAGCAATTATAGTTTGTGCATAACATATATGGCAAAACCATCCTTTATAGCAATAAAATAAACTTATATTTTTAGAAGAAGTTATAAAGGTTTATTAATAAAATAAGTGTTGTTATATATTCTCAGAAAAAGTATGATTAGCCAGTGTTTAGCTCTATGGATGCAGAGATATTTGTGCTTCTGTAGATGCACATGTGTGTGGCTATTAGACCAAATAAACTTTGTCTCATTAAAAATCTTTGAATGAATAAAGCTATCGATATATTTATAAAAGTGCATAAAAATAGGAAGCAAAAGCTATTATGATAAACATGGTATATGAAAATGTAATTTTTATATATTTATAAATTTATATACACACATATCTTTAATATTCATATTAAAATATATGAATTTTATATTACAGCTATATATTTAAAACTAATGAAAGCATGTGCACACACAGAGGGGAGACTGAGTCACTGTGTTATTAAAACATACATTTTGTGCCTAATAGGTACTATGTATATTAAAATGCAGACTTTTATAGGTATGTGTGCCTATATATCATGCTCTATACCCATCTATAAATATGCAGATACATATGTACACATTTTTAATAACTTATGTACAGGAAAGATTAGTTCTGAATTATAGTTTTTCTCTCTCAGGCTGTATCTTTATATAAACTAGATATATAAGCCTGTAGTATGTATTATCTGTCATGTGCTCCATATAAAATATTAGCTATAATGAACAGTAAAATTAATGTTATGTTGTATACTACAATAAAAAATTACTCCTTGATATGCAGCATTTTTATTAATTTACAGCGAATTAACATATCCACACATCTCACTATATATAAAGTGTGTATATATATATATATATACACACACATAAAATAACCTGTTTTTGTTAATAACTAATTGCAGTATAATTTTAATTGTTTCATCTCATGTAAATACACATTTGCTGTGGTTATACCCAACCCTGGAGGCAGCTGGGAATGTTGGGGGATATTTGCCCCCCTCAAATTAGCTGGGATCCATCCCCTGGTGGGACAGACCAGAGGATGGGGGAGAAAAATTCCCTCCCAAAAGCCCCACGCCCTGATACAGCAAGACAAGCACACAGTGAGAGAAGAAAAATTTAAAAGTTTATTAAACATTAAGAATAACAGACAAAAAAAAATATTTGGGCTGAACAGCATACAGGATGCAAACCATTTCTTGTCATACAGATAATTTGAGCTATTTGTTAAACTTGTATTTAATTCTGTCTTGTGGTGTTGCCAGAAATACGATGGTTGATCACATATAAGTTTTAATAGAATTTTTTTCTTCACATAAAAAAGTCAACAAAATAAAAATAAACTGCACATCTCTATTGTAAAATTACCTGCAAAAATAATTTTAAAGCAATAATTGGGGGTATTACAAACCCACAGAGGCAAGATATTCAAATAAGAGGGGTCTGAACTGATCCCATCCCTGGTGCTTGCTCCGGCTCCTCTCCTGCATTCTGAATTTCTTGCTTTTGTGGATTCAAGTCAGAAATTATTTCCATGGTGCTTGGTTTAGTGACTTCAGCACCACTCAAAACAGAAAAAGAAACACCCCCCCTTCCTCTGCCACGGGCTTTCCACAGAGAGCCCCAAGGTGCTCAGATGCACAAATCCATCTCCAGTCCCACTGATTTCTAGAGGGCATTCTTTTGTAAAAAGAAAAATTCCACTTCTAAGTTTCAGCAAAAAATGAAAGAGAAGACAAGCATTTTACCAATGCTTATAATGTAATAGAGGTCAGTGAATTATTTAGATAAGCTATTAATTAATCTGCAAATATATATATTTCTATTTTTATAAAATTACAATTTCTTATACCTAAAAGCTCCTTCATGAGCAACAAAGCCATCAGAGGTGTGATGAGCCCAGCTGAGCTGACCTCGGGAACTGAAAATGAGCTAACTTCCATTTATTTATTTATTCTCATTGGTTTTTTTTCAGGGAGACAACCTGGATAGTGAACCTGGGGATTTTCCAAGTTTTAAGCCCACACATTCTGCCTTTTTTTGGGGTTTTTTTTTTGTTTGTTTTTCTTTTTTTTTCCAGGTGAGTTTTTCAGAGCAGCCAGAGTGCCCAAGTCCCCCAGGAGGCACCAAAGCATCTCGGGGGCTGCTGGGCAAGGCAGAGCCAGAAGCCTCCTGCCCCTCTGTGCCCACGCCTCAATAAACCCAAAACCCAGTCTTCAACCACTTCCCACCCAAAGAAACAAAAGAATTCTCTTTTTTCTTTTCCAAGCTGCCTTTTGCACGTTACACAAAGTTTTGTGCTCGCAACCCGCCCTAGCAGTGGCACCCCTGACCTCACCCTGCTCTCGGGTCACCCCAAAATTCCCCTTTGTGGGGTGATTAGAGGGTGCTGCAATTTGGTGTGGTGATGCTAAAGGCACATCCACAGCAGCTCCCAGCCCTGCTCCTCGCAGAGGGAAATCCAGGGGTGCTCCCAAGGGGCTGCAGCAGGGACCCCAACTGTGCCAGACCCTCCTGGCCCCTGCAGAGCCTTCTGCCCACCTTTAGGGAATAAATAACTCACAGCATTCCAGGCTCCTGCAGCACATGGAAACTCCATCTGCACCTTACGGGACACCCACAGGCCAGGTGTGCTCGTGGAGAAACACTGGAGAAATGCCAGCCATGCAAGGGTGTTTCTAATGCTGACCAAAAAGCTGAGGTCTCTGCAGCCATCTCCTCAAGCATGAATAGTGGTTTAATGGAAACACAACCTTTTTATTTGGAAATAATGTCAGAATGCTTAGAAAACTGTGAGCAAGACATGTAGCACCGTATTTTCCTCACTGTTCTGATATCTGAGCTGTTTCTAACAAAATAATTCAGCTGGGAACAGATTCTAGCAGCAGATTGGAAATTATGTTAAGTGGTTTCGTTATATATTATTTTTCTGCCATTATAAAATGTAATGTCCAATCAATAGTTGATTAAAATCCATGTTGTGCTTTGTCCCTGTTAAACAGTTTCTTTATGTGTTTCTGATGAAAAATAAAAAAGTCTCTCTTTTTTAGTAATATGGAAAATCCTGGAAAGCCATATTACTACCATAAAAATTTAATTTAAAGCACAGAACATGCCAGTGTGCTTAAAATTATGGATTTTAAAGAAAAAGAAGAAAACAACAACCAACAAATCCCTAAGCATTTCCTTTCTATACAATAATGGAGAATATATCTTTGCTATATATTTTAAACATGGAATAGCTTTCTCTTTTTGCTATATATATGTCTTTCAAAATACATTGTCAGTATTTGTACTTGAAAAATACTGTACAAAACGAACATACTATAATTATTCTGTATAAACTTTATACATTTTATAATATCTATCCTTTTGGTCTAGAGTAAACACTTAGATTGATTGGATTAACCACAGTATATGACAACACCATCCCCTCCTGAAATACACCAGTGTCTCTTACATTCATTTTTCAGAAGTCCACTTTATATTAGAACATACATGTTCAAAAGCAGAGAGTTTAAAACAATGAAGTTCAGAACCATCAGTTCATGTCACACTCAAAACAACAACCACTAGGAAAAAATGGGCTTTGCAAACCAGTGACTTCTTCTAACTGAATAAAAGTGATTTTTTTTTTTTAAACAGCAAGATATAATCCACAGAAAATATATTACAAAACATGGGGGAAAACCAACTGAATTTAGGTATTTATTCAACTTTTAATCACAAAATGGAGTAACTAACTGAAAACAGAAAAGCCCCTCTGATTTCAACATCAGACCTGATTTGACGCTATTGAATTTTGTTCTCAGTGTCAGCGAACGATCCTGCTCCTTACACATGCACTGCCCCACGGCAGGGACACACTCAGCATGCTCATGGCAACGAGTCTGGGACTTTTTGGAACTCCTTGTTCAAGACATGGAGGCTGCTCTTGGGGAGGGAACCATCCCACGTCCACGGGGAACATCCGGGCAGCATGCACGCAGGATTATTGCTTCAGGTGCAGGCAGTGCAAGGTACACACGCTGTGCTCTACCAACAACTCCTACCTACCTACCTGGGGTCCGTGGAGAGAAAAGGAACCTTAGCAGCTACAGAGAAGCCATTATGGGGTCTATCATGAGTACAGCTAAACTCAGCCTAACAGCACTTTTAAATCTGAAGACAATTATTACCAAAACTTAAAAATACAACAAAAGCAATCTATAAATTAATAGTTCTGCAGTGTAGTACTAAATTATTATTTGTGCACTTTATTAGCATGTTAACTTTTCTGATTAGACAGACTTAAAACGATAGCTTGTTACTCTCGAAAAAAAACTCAGATCTACCTTTTTTTTCTTTTTTCTTTTTTTTTTTCCTTTTTTTTTTTTTTTTTTTTTTTGGGATTTTTCCAAGTAAATCAGGAGGATGGAACTGATTACGAGAACATAAAACCCCTACTCTGAAGCAGCACTGAAGGAAAAAAAAAAATATATATATAATAAAAAGCTTACTATGGCGGTTCTCAACAGTCCAGGTAAAAATGTGGCACCCTTTGAAGAGGGCTGGTAAAAATGGGAAGTGCTGAGATGCACACGCACACCCACAGCCACACACATGCACACCCACAGACACAGACCTGGGCACACACGTGTGCACACACACACGCAGGGACACGTACACGCGAACAAAAAGAGAAAAAAAAAAAAAACAACAATAAACCAACATTAAGTCAGTTTTGTTTCTGCTTCTGGTAAAGTGCTGAAGACAGAAAGGTTGGTTTGGGTGTGGTGCTATCAAACAGGAAACACATTGTCCATCTAGTCAAATGCCAACCCGCGACAAAGAAAAAAAGAAAAGAAAAAAGAAAAAAAGAAAAATAAAAAAACCAAAACACCCCAGCTCCCCTGCCTCTGATTTACAGGGGGCCGTGGCGAGCTTCGTACTTGGCCAGGATGTTCTTGCACTTGCCCAGCTCCTTGCGCAGGTCGGCCACCTCCTGGCGCAGGGCCGAGTTCTCCTTCTCCAGGAAGGAGGCCCGGATGGCGATCTGGTTCTCCTTCAGCCGCCGCGCGTCCCGCGAGCGCTTCGCTGCCATGTTGTTCTTTCTGCGCCTGGCCCAGTATTTGTCGTCCTGCTCGTGAGACACACAGAGAGGCGAGCAGAGCTGTTAGATGTTGGTCAGAGCTGGGCTGCCAGCAGCCTCCGGACCGTGCAGCACGGCGGCGCCGGAGCTGCAGCTTGCCGTGGCACAATCCGCCCTGGCAGCGCGGCTGCCCTCACATGTTTCTGTCAAAATGTTTACACTAACCCCCTCATCCTCCTGGCAGGGAATTCCTGCGAGGAGAAGTGAAGCAATGCTCCGGAGGTACAATCCATCTCCCATCTAGGCTGACCCAGTTAGCACATCCACCTCCAGGAGCCGTGACTCACCCTGAGCAGAGGCCGCAGCAGCACCGGGTACCTCTGGCCCTGCTCAGCGCTGCTGGTTCCCTCTCTGTGCTGTTTTCACCCATTTCATCTACTGCTCCGCTCTTTTGTAATGTTCAAAGCACTCTACAGAGCCCCAAATGTTCCTGTCTGCACCACTGTCACCACAAGAGGATTCCTTGGCACAGTGATGATGGCTGCTCTGGGACCAACCACAGTGATTAGTGCAATAGGCTCTGGCTGTGGAAAAAAACCCCACAGTGGACAGAAATAGGTCCACTACTTCCTGAGGTTTCATAAACGAACACATTCCCAAAGTGTTATTCCTTAAGACTTGCCTCTAGATCACCTAACTGCATCGGTGTATCAAAGACTCGAAGTAACTACTGAATTTCACCCAATTTTCACTCTTCCAATGAAGTGGCCTTCAGCAAAATGGCAGTTTTCATGTTGCTTCGTAACTGAATTAAGTTCTAGCACTTTGGAACAACTCAGAAAATAGAAACCAGGTAGAATCTCTCGTGAAAACTTCCGTCCCCTGCAGAGTATGAGTGATGCAGCCACTCAGTGCTCAGACTCTGCCTGGCCAGGTCACAGAGCTCAGACTCCCTCTTCCTTCATCTTAACGTGCTTCCATTTCCCTGCGCCGCTCCAAGGACCGGCACAGACCCAGCTGCTCCTGCGCTGCACTGAGCAAACACCCACCACTCCTGGGTGCTTCTGCCCAGCCTAATCCTGCTGCTCTGCACCTTCTGCTGCTGCACGAGGCAAAGCAGGAGCAAAACAACTGCTGGCAGGAGGGCTCTTGAACTGCTTTCTATCAGTTTGGCTCAACAAAGTGTGCAGGAATGCTGATCTGGAGCCAGCATTATCTCTAAATGGCTCTTCACCTGAACGTAGATGGGTCCCCATAAAATCCTCCAAAAAACCAAGCATGCAACAAAAAGCTATGACCTGAATCTTGTTTATAATTTCCCATCTCAATTCACTCCATAAAAATCAGCTTTAAGCAATTTATTAGTGTGCCACCTAGCCTTCATCCCTCTTTATTTTAACAAATTGCTATGGCAAATCCCTTAATCCAGGCCTGAAAGAGGTAAGGCTGGCATTTCCAAATCACATGCAGCCCAGAGACGATTGACTGCTCTAATCTGCTTACCCTCCCCCAAAACCCAGAGGCTGGTCCACATGCCAGGGCAGGAGCAGCACTTGGGTCAAGCACTCTGAAACGAGTCAAGGGCAAGTGATGGGATGATCCTGAGGGACCCTGAGCTCCTGCTTCACTCCTGTGCTGCACTGCTGGGCTCCACCTCTGGCCAACAGGACCTTTGCCAAAGCTTGCTTTGATGAATAAAGGTACCTGGGAGACGTGACAAAGGGAGAAACCCCAGCCATTTCTGCCAGCCGTGGGCACTGCAACCCAACAGGCAGCAGAACTTCCTCAGGTAAGCAACAAGGTGCAGGCAAACTTTTGCAAAGGAAAGCTGAGTGACAGCAACCTGAACACTACTGCAGCTGTGATTTCTGTGCTTTTAACCTGCACCACAGCATGTTCAGGGATAAAAATAGCTCATTTCCCTAATGCTATCAATCTGGTGCAAACACATGGCATCCCAGGCTCCCTGCACATGCAGCCAGGGATTCCCACTGACTCCAACAGGCTCTCAGGCTTGTCTCTTGGGGGCAGTAGCAACAGCAGAATTAAATTCTGCCCTGACTGCCTTTGATAAAAGAGAACCTCTTGGAAAGCACATTCTGGGAAAACAACTTCACAAATAATATTCAGAGTGTTTGATAACCTGGATCAGTTGATTGATTTTCCTGCTATCTTCATGCACTTTGCTCTTCACATCTCAGAAGCAGTGAGTGGCACAGACTCTTTCTTCTAAAATATTGATGTAGTAATGCATTTTACATATTGTATTAAAATACACCTCTCAGCAGAAAAATTCTTTTTTCTTCTGTTTTCCTATCACTTGTCTAGATTCTTTCACCTGGATTAGTGAATATATATTAGTGAAATAGTTTTTACTATAGTGTTCTCATTCATTATTAAACACAGAACTACAGCAACTTCCAAATACGACACAATATACTTCAGTATGTCATCAGGGTCCTCCATTCTCCTTGAAGGATTCACAGCCTGTGCTAAATAGACAGAGGATGAAGAAAAAGAAAACATGAATAGAGACAGGATGAAGAAAAAGGAAACATGATCGGGCTGTTTCATAAGTGGGAAATATGGGACAAAGCAAGCTTGTCCAAGGTCAAGCAGGAAGTTTCTAGCATACAAAGGAAATGAATATTGAGCTCATGAATTTCAACTGTTGCATAACTAATAAGGGACATCCTCCCTTCAGTCTCATCCAGTACCCTGAACAGTTTTATTCTACAGCAAAGTCAGATTTAGATGGAAAGATTTACCTCACACGACAAAACGGATTCAAGCTCCAAACCTGTACCTCAGTGAGGAACTGTCAGAGACCCTGTAGGAATCACCTCGTCACCAGTTCCAAATTACCTTCAGGTCATCTGGGATGAAGACTTTGCGAGCTTTCTTAATCATGGGCTGGGGTTTCAGCTCTTCTTCGGAGAACTTGCGCTTGCGAGGGTCGAACATCTCCTGGCCAGGAATGCTGGACAGAGCAAGATCTGCAGGGTCAGGTTCGTAGCCAACAGGAACTTGGATAGTCTCAGGATCAATGGGGCTTGGTGTGTTCCGGTTTGCTGGCAAGATCTGACCTACAGAAACACAGCATAAACACAGCTGGGTTAGAAAAAATATGTTAATTGTAGCACAGGTTTTTAGAAGATCTCTACGTATTTTACAAGCAATAATTATTTCAGCTTTCCCTTCAGATGTGGTATCTATGCGTACTAAATATTAGATTGTCCATTCTGCAAGGTGCATATTCTGACCCAGACATGCTCATGGCCTTTATATTCAGAATCTGTTCCTAACTCTGGCTGCTAATCTTGGACCCCCATGCACTATCACTGAATCCAACACTGAGTTGCACTGGCTGCAGGCAGAAGATACATTGCTCCCACCTGTACCACTCCATTAGGATCCCATCCTCAGGAACAGATCGTAAGTACTGTCATCTAGTTCAGATCTACCAGCACACTGTAACCCCTCACAGTTTTACCTCTGAAGGTATGTTTATTTTACAATCAAACAATGTACTGTACTTGCCATGAATAGCATCTCATGGAAGTGTACTTTCAGCTGGGCTGAAGCACTCCAAGGAGACTGCTATTTATTCTTTATGAAATCCTACCAGGGATATTCTAAAAGACAGCAAAGGAAACCAGCAACATGAAAAGCTACAATGATTCCTTAAAGATGCTCTGCAAAAATGAAGAAGACACTTAAGATGCTGCATTTCTCTTTTATGGTGTATAAAATCTAATAAAAAGGAGCATATCCCCAGAAAATTAGTGATATAACTCCCATTTTTCTCTATTTTATTTTAGATAAAGCCTTCAAGATCCTACAGCAGCAATTTGGGCACCATTCCCACTAAAAATCCAATTTAAAATCTCAACTAAAGGTTCCAAAAATAGGATCCCGAAGTCAGCTGCCTAAACATGGACTATCCCCAGGGGCAGAATTTTCAGAAGTTTTCACATGCCTCAGAAGTAGAAGCCTCACAGACTTCAGAGGGAGGCCTTCTGATTGAAGCAGATATGCTTTTATAATTTTGGCTATTTGCTAATTCACTTTGACTTTGGAGATGTGACGGCTTTCGTGACAACTACAAAAACATCCTGTGGCTGTATAATATTTCCTTACTTGTGCCCACATCTGCAATATTCATGGTGTAAAACAGTAAACATTACATGCCATTTCTAATTCCAAGGCCAGCATTAACAATGTAGTTTTTATTTTAATAATATGGGAAGCGCACGGAAAACGCACCGGGGGAATTGCACTGCGCAGGGCTCGCTAAGGGAGAGCTTTTGCAACTCCTATTTTAGAGCTGATAAAATCAGCTGCCAGGAAAGGCTGGTGAGGGCCGGGGAGAGGAGAAAAGGAGGATCAAAGTTATCAAAATATAGATGTGGCTGCGGGAGAGGGAGCAGGAGGAAAGGATGGCGTTGCAGGCGTGCCGCTGCAGAGCGCTGCCGCCGCGGCTCGGGATGCGCTGATGGAAACGTGGCTGTGCCCGTGTCCCTCCTTAATCCAGCCGGGAACTGGCGGTGCCAGCGGCTTCTCCTCGCTCTCCTCGGGGCCAGGAACGCGGCGTTTCCAGCCGCTGCCCCGTTAACACAGCCGGGAAGCAGCGGTGGCATCTCCCCTGCCCGCCCGCGTTTCGGCGCGGCGCTCCGGGATAACCGGAGGAGCAGGGAGGCTTGGCCAGCACCGGCTGTGGCTGTGGTGGCTCCTCACAAGCTTCATCCCTCCTGGAGCCAGCGGGTTTGAGTCACCTCCCCAGCCACTGTCACCTCCTGGCAGCCCTGCCGGCCATGGGGGCCGATCCACCGCTGATGGATTGATGGATGGATGGATGGATGGATGGATGGTGGATGGATGGCTGGATGGATGGATGGATGGATGATGGATGGATGGATGGATGGATGGATGGATGGATGGATGATGGATGGATGATGGATGGATGGATGGATGGATGGATGGATGGATGGATGGATGGATGATGGATGGATGATGGATGGATGTGCTGCCACGGCCTTGTTTAAAGGACAAAACACAGAAAAAGCTCCTTGGGTGAGTGTGTGCCCCACAGCAGCCAGGTATTCCTTACTGCAGACAAATACACAGATGTGTGCGCTTACAAATGGTGCACATTCTGTAATACAGATAAAAATTAAGCAAGACATCAGCTCTGAGTAGTTTTATAATATTTCTGGTGAGCCTGCAGGGTGTTTCTAAAAGTAAAATGGATTGTGAAATCTGGCCCAGCTTTCTAATTGTCCCATGTGAGTGCCTGCATTTAAATATCGCTGAAGTTCTTGATATACAGGATCAGTTTTAATACTGTCATTTATCTATAACATGCCATATTACACAATAACATGAGCTCTGTAGTCACTGGTCTCAAGAAATTTTACAATTTCACCCTAAAAACAGGGCAAAAATGCTCCTTTTAGACATGGGAAATTGAGGCATTGCATCTTAGCAATACAAGAGCAAAACAAAGAGTGATGCACCTCCACAGGACTCTGGGAGAAGACACGGCAGTCAAGGTCCTGCCTTGCCTCTTCCACGCACACATTTCCTCTCCCCTGCTTTAGGAAGCTCTCATGACTACAGACCTTGCCCTTCAGCAAACACAAGAAATTCCAGTGCCAGTGAGAAGCTCATTCAAGGGAAATGCTGTTCACTAAAGCCTGAACAAACCATGTGTCTAAACACCGTCACGAGGAGCCCCAAGAGTGCTGCCCTGTGAGATATCCTACACCCACATGGCACACACACCTCTGCCAGTCTCTGTTCTGTCATGCTCCAGCAAATGATCGGCAGCTCCATCAAGAACAACAGACTTAATGTGGGTATCTCAAGCCCCAGGCAGAAAAACCAGAAATGCTTCGTCCAGCATTTTACATTGGGCAACTCCTGGCACCTGAGATCTTTTTATTTATTCTATCAAGTTTTGCCGATAGTGCAAGCCAGGAACCTGAATTTGTTAGTTTGCTGGCCAGTGGCCACGACATCTCTGCGGTGCTGGAACTTGTCACAATCCAGGAGGACGGCGTGGGCTGTGCTGGCCCTGGCTCCGCTGTCACTGCGGGAGCGCGGCCTCGCCTTACATCGCTCCCTGGGCTCCTCTCCACGGGTGAGCTCGGCACTTTCGCTCTGCATCCTCCTGCCAAATTTGTTTGGGGTGTTATTTTTATGCACTGAATTCCTCGCAATCAGAGGTAGGTCAAATAAGCACAGCAATCTGAATGTCATGTGCCCAGCAGCCGACTAATCCTCACATCAGCAAGTTTCCCAGCTGTCACAACAGCCACAAAAGGGCTGCTTGGAGGCTCCATGCAGGAATCGGCCAAGGAGGAAACCCACTCTGCAAGGTAAGGCCCCTCAGTGCCCAGCACTGGGAGCCAGATGCCTTTGCCAGGCTCTGCATTATTTAAACACTCTGCACTCACAACAGTGGCCAAATTTTCACAACAGTGAAGTGGCTGGACTGTTTAATGTGCTTAAGCTTTGTTCTCAATGGGGGCTGATGGCTGCCAAGAGTTTTGGAAAGAACTGAGCCCCTCTATTTAAGTTGCTGAAATGAGAACTCTTGAGTATTAAGCTCTTTTGGAAATCCAGCTGCAGAGCTCCACAGTGGTGGTGGTGGTGGTGGAAGCAAGCCGGGAACAATTGTTAATGGAAACTTCCCCTCATACCACCCTAGTGATGTGTTTCAACCATGGCCTGGAGAGACCACAACTGTGTCAACACTGGCCTTTGGTCGGGAGCCCTTCCCACTGACAGAGCTCCACTCAAGCAAGAAGGAGTGTGCCAGGACAGACACAGCTCCAGGTGTCCCCCTGGCAAAGGGACCAGCAGGTTTTGACAACCCCAGCAATTCTGCTGCCCTAACATCTTGCCTTTGCTTATGCTTTTGGTGTTGCTCTGGCAGATATTAGCATAGTGGAAAATTTTCCATAAAAAAAGACTTGAAAGAAAATTTGCTGTTCTAATCCTTTCAGTCATCGTCCTCCTCCTCCCAGCAGAGGTTGCCAGTGAGAAGTCCAATGTAATGACAGTATTTTCAGTGTGGTTTGTTTTTCAGAGAGAAGTGGACTGAGGTCATTCACTTGTGTCATCTAGGTAACCAAACTGCTGGTAAAAAAAAATAGAAGCTTTAAATTCCTTGCAATAATTAAAATTCACCACTCAAAAAGTATAGCAGCATTTTTGTATACCTACAAAACCCCAAATGCTGATCTGGTATCATGGGGAGTTCAATCACCACATCCTGACTCTCAATTTCCCCTTTTTGAAACATCCCACCTACCAGCTGTGCCCAGGAGAGTGAGGACGGAAATAACCTCTTCAGCTGCACTACTGCTTGGCAGACTTCTTATCTGTACTGCGAGAGGTCCCTGGCAAATTATGTGGAACACAATTCTGAATCATTCAACTCCCATAGAAATGTGTCTGATTTTCAGAAAATCTCCCTTCTCACAGCCCTTCTACACTACTCATCAGCTCAACAGCTGGCTGGAGAACAGCAGAGAGAAGAAGCAGAGAGGAAGAAAAGAGAGTGAAAATGTTCTAATCAAAATATTTTCCCTATTTTTTTACACACATTGGAGAAAAATAAAAGAGGAGTTTCCTAGTCAATTTATTAGCAGCCCAGAGATAAAACATGTGTTTGCTAATCATTTTTCTTTATATAAAACGGAAGGCACTTTGTGTGTGTCAGTCAGGCTCTGCAGCACAGTGGTTAAACTGACAGATAATCCTCACCCAGAGCTGCTCTAGAGCCTTCCCTCTATATTTTCCAAGCCATCTATCCCCTTGGCAGCTGGCCAGCTATTTGGGATAGTTCCTTTACTCCAAATCACAGCCTGTCCTGGACTAATCTGTCATCCAGCTCTGCATTAACTCCTTCAGCCTCCAGGGAAAGTTCTCTCGCTGCAGAACACATGACAAGAGCACGGGGATCAAGACAGACAAAAATCCCCAGGGGAAGCAAAGTAAAAGGGGTATTCTGGAGGTCAAGATTAATCTAAGGACAGCATCGTGTCACGTAATCATTCCTCACCTACAATATCATAAG